GCCAAATCCAGCACCACCCGGATATGCCAAACGATGCTGCAGCAACCATGTACTATGTAGGGTCCTTATTGGAAGCATGTTTGTGATAAGCATGCATGTAGTTGCGCGCAATTCAAAACGCCCATGGTTTGAGGTCCTGCTGGATTTGCAGCATGTGACGGAGGAGGAGTCCGTTGAAGAACTTGGCATGAAATTGCGGGCTGAGGTCAACGCAGGGGGCAAGGCTGGAATAGATTGCACAACATCTTGGTATTTGGCAAACACATGGTGACCTCCGTTTTGTGTTTATTTGTCGTTTATCCCCTGCGAGTCTGCCATGGGCCTCGGTGGCAACAACATCTCTACACAATTGACCCTGAACACTGCGAACCAGCCCTGCATGATGCCGATTGAAGCCCCTGCCGAAAACCGACCTTCATCATCCACGAAAATGCCCAAGGCAGATAAGGAGAAACGGACTCTTGACCTGTTGTGTTTGCCTGCCATGCATCTAGCTTTGATGAAGGTAGCTCAAGATCACGTGTTTGAGTCTATGCTACCCAGCTTCGATCCAAGGTCAAAGGAGGCTCCTCACGAGCCTATGCCACTATGCTGCTGGTATATTCCGAAAATGTTGGCTGCCTTATCGGACGCCAAAATGTTTCCGGTCAAGCTTGCGAGTCTCAAGCATCAAGAGTCCTTGTGTAACCCGGTGGCACAGTTGCACTTTTGGGGGACGTCGAAACTACATGCACATGTGTCTGAGGCAGCACCATGTGTGGCCATGCCGAAGAATTGGAAAATTCTTACTTTCAACTCCAGCGATTCAGTAAGGAGGACAGAGCGCCTGCTGATGTGCGCTGATGTGACAGGTTGTTGTGAAACATTCCATGTGTTCAAAGATTTTCTTGAAGGACCCATGCACCGTCAATGAAAACGCCCTTCGTGCAGCTATCACTTTGGCTGAACAACGACTTCAACTTTTCATGGAAGATGCCAAGATTGCCACCAATGTCACTAAGCCCTCCAAATCGAAAAAGGCTGAGGCCTGGTTTGCTGTTTGCTTCAATCATACCCTCCCTCAAACCCTTTGAGCCCGGGCTTCTGTCAGGCGCCCACGCAACCTGACCTTTGAGGCGCGAGTTCTTCACCTGCCAGCCGGCAGCACGGCGATAGATGGAGTTTGTGGCAGTCTCTGAGGCTAATGAGTTATTTCATCAATCCCAAAACTGGTGCGTCAATAAGGAGACCCCTGTTCCAGCCTTGGAGTTTTTTGTTTGCGCGCTTCCAAACTGCAAAGCTGTCTCATGCAGGAACTGTGTTTGAAACAAGCGCTCGTGAAGGGCTCCTCAAGTCAAGCTCGTTGGTTTTTGTAGGGGCAGGAACGTGTAGGGGACCTTTTTCCATATAAGCAGAAATGATCTCGAAGTAGCATCAGACGACTGCACGGGTTTTTGGATGCCCTGCATCCACCCCAAGGGGAAATGCTCAAAATCGAGCCAAAGCTTAAACAATGCGCGGCCACAGAGCCGGCATGTGATCACGTCTCATGCATCGCGGAGTGACAAAACTCGATTGCATGCATCTTGTTTGGTGGCAGTCACACCCCGCTTGGCATGCGTGGCAGCACGAACTGTCAATGAACTTTTTCATGATAGATCATTCCATTTTTTTGCAGGTTCTTTTGAACAAGACCGTGATGATGAAGCTGCCAGCTCAGCCCGCTCTTCCCGCGAGGACCCCCCCCTGGTGCGGGAACACCGTGTTCCCCCGGCCTGGCTGCGCCAGGAGCACGGAAGGCCATCAAAGCGGCCTCGGCAAGATGATCGACGCGATGCTGGCAAGGACATCATGGGATCAGGGCCGGGGAGGAAAGTGCAACTTTGTTTAGTGACTTGCAGACTGCAGGAAGCGGATCTGGGGAGCCTTCTTCTCAAGGATTTTGTATATGGCCGGTGCACCGCATCTAGAGCCCCTTGGATTGAGTTGTTGTTTGGTTTGTATAGGGATTGCATTTCAACCAAACCCTCAACCCCAACAGCGCCATTTAACATTTGCAGACATATCCGAACATGCAATAAAATTCGAGGTGCAGAAACCCTTAACCTGAACGCTGCAGATAGCCGAGCCTGGTTCTCACTTTTTTGTGGCACCCTTTTCCACGGGGATGGCTGTTGAACCAAACCCTCGCTCACTCAAACGGCTTTAAACTAACACCAACCCTGCCATCACACGGCTATTCAAACATGCATGGACACTCTAATGCGCAGGAACCCTCGAGAAACTGTTGCGCCATACAGACATCCGAACATGGTTTCACTACTTCTGAGCACACGAGTTTTCAGGGGGTGACTGTTCCCTCAAACCCAACACTGTCACACGGATACCCGAACACGCTCTTCTTTGGGTGACCGTTTCAACAAACCCTCAACCCCAAGAGTGCCATCCAATCTGACGTGTGGGTTTTCAAAGGCTTGCGATTTTAACCATCATAAAGCTTCCCCAGTCCCATGTTACTGTTCAAACAAACCCTCAAACTAGCCTGCGTGAGGCACAAGTCCTTGCTGGTGCTGCGGTTCGCTGGGCCAACAAGCTCGGAGTGAACGTGGCGGAGAAGGATATGGTAAACCAGATTTGCGGGGTGGGCACCAAAGGCGTTCATCCCTCGAACGCGGAGAGGGATATGCATGTGCTTATTAAGCGCCGCGAAGAAGCATTCCATGTGCCCATTTCAACTGTGAAAGCGCGTATGTACGAACATAAGACTGGAACAGTGGAATTTAATGACGTGTCAGTCATTTTCCCTGATGACCTGTGTTGTGCTATTTGGGCACTTGGTGAAGATGCATTTCGCCGTTGCTTCTGCGGCAGCACAAACATTGCTGCTTATTGGCAGCACCACGTGGACAACTGCGAGTGGTTTCGGCTCCACCCCTCTGCAACAGCTCCGAACAAAGCTTCCCGGCCGGACACATGCAGATTCCCCCTTTTGATTTGTTTAGCCCCTCTTTCAAACTTTCATTTCTTGGAAACGCAGTGAAAAGAGAGCTTTGTTTCCACCCAAAGTGATGGAATGGGTCGATTCAAGGACAAGCTATTGCCACTATCGCTATATGGGGATGAGGTTACTGCTTACAAGGGGACCGAAGCAGGATCAGTGGTGGTAATGGGTTTTTGTTCGGACTTGGTGCCCTTCAACCAGCCGTGGCTTCGGTACTTCATGACAGCTGTTTACAGCGAGTATCGAGCCGTAGAAGACACATTTGATGATATTTTGCAAGCACTGGTGCCGCGGCTCTGCAAGATGGTTTCACGTGAGCCGCACTACCCGTGGGCCATTAAAGGCTACCAATGGATGTTTTCAAGCGTCCAGGGTGACCTGAAGTACCTTGCAAGCAACTTCAACTTGTTCAACTACAGGGCAAACCTTTGTTGCTCGCGATGCAATGTGCACAAAAATCACCCGCGTGTCGATATGACATTAGCCGATTTCCGCCCCAACTCCGGCCACTTGGAAACACGGTATGGGCACGAGGAGTTCATGGCTGCCACCAGGGAACAAGATCGAACCTCAATGTAAGTTAGCAACCGTTTTGCAATCCTTTGCACACATGGTCAGCTTTGTTTTGTGCGCATGCATGGTAAACCCCTTTGTTCCTCACCATCCGTGCGTCTAAGGGTCAGTCATTTTTACAGTCCCTGGCTGCCGATCAGACCGATTTATGCACGATTGCCTTCATGGACAATATCTGGGTACAGGGAAACTTGCAAATGGTTCAACATTGATCTATCTCGCTGAACGGGGTGCATTCGGTCCCTGGGTTGGCATCGGCCGTTACAAAGACATTTTGGCACTCAAGCTGAGAACTGCTCATGCTGCATTTTGCCACTGGAAGAAGACCAACCGCCTTGAGTGCACGCAGCCTCGGTTTACGCCTGCCCGCCTATCCCGGACATCCAAGCTGTCATTTCCTTGCTTGGCGGCCAAAGGGATCGCTTCCAAGGTCCTGACTTTTTGGATCGCTCATGTTAGCGTGGAGTTTGCATCCAAGCGTGAGGCAACATCACTTGACAAGATGGTCGCTACATGTATGTGGGCATATGCGCGGAGTTTACAGATCATGGCCACATCACCTACGCTCATGAGCGAAGATGCGGCGCGTGAGTTTCACTCCGTGGTGATGCTTCACCTTCAAACCTACGCCGAGCTTCACAAGCTGAGCGGCGAGGCTGCGCCCAGCATCATAAACCGATGTTTGTGGCAGCTGGCTCCCAAGCATCACCATCTACAACACTGCGCGTATGATGTGCTTCAGCAAAGGGTAAATCCCAGAAGCTACACCCTACTTTGCGGTGAGAGCTGGATAGGCCTCATGGGCAAGGTGTCCCGCATGTGTCACAGGAGCAGTGTATCTTTCAGAGTGGCCCAAAGATACATGTGCATCCTCGCCTTCGAGCTTGCTAAGTGCCCGGCAGAGTAGCAAACAGTGACACCCACGTGCTGCGATTGAGCCAAAGCCAAAACATCAGCGATTGCCTGGGGCCCATGGGCCCTCGTGGTGAGGGGTCGGATCTGGCTGGGCCCTCAAGGTTCAAAGTTTGAGGCCCCATGCATTCATGACGACCCAGCAAGTGTTTGGAGCCTTTGGGTGGCAAAAATCGTCGGCCTTGCCAGAACCGAGATCGGATCCAGATGAAGCCGCCGAACGAACTCCGGAGCAAGATTTCACGCGAGAGCTGCTGGGGAAAAAGGGAATTCACGGGACCTCCCCCAGTGGCCATGCGAACAAAGCATCGGACCATTTTCTGTGGCGGGTTTTTATGGGTTTCCCCCTCATCAATTATGACAAACAGGAAACTCACTTCCTGAGTAGACTGGCCGAAAAACGTCCAAACTGGTTGTTCGCTAAAATGGTCTTCCCAAAAAGTTCAAAGCCCATGAAGTCAGAGAGTGGGGAAAGGAAGCAACCCACGGGGTGTCTGACTACAAAAACGGCGCATTCGAAATCGCGGCAAGTCGCGAGACCCAGACCCGCGGTCTGGAAGATCAGAGTCTGGGTGTTCAGCACATGCACCTAGCAGCAGCGCCCACCAGTCTCACCGACCACTATAATATCAAATGCGTAATGCAGTGCCTATGAAGCTAGGTAGTAGAACCACTTGCCATCGTGTGGTGCCGGTTTCTCTTTAACCCCTGCAAAAGGGCACCCTCCAAAAAACACACATCCATCTCAAGATGTTCAGCATGGAAGTTCTACATTTGAGGGTTCAACATTGACTTCATCGGTCCACCTCAGGCGTTTCTTCAACGGTTTTCTGAGCGTTAAAAAATGACCTACGCGCAAGTGGCTGGGCTGGAAGTCTTCCGCCTCGAGGCAGCTCCGCTTTGAGGACATGCCAACTGATTCGGAGCCAGCCCCTGCAACCCGAATCGGGACTAGCCACCAAGGCCATGCGTTCTGATGTCCCGTGGCTCCCTCTTGCTATGGCTTTGAAATTGGACAAATGGAGGAGGTCGAGCCCTCTTCTGTTTCTGTGGCACCTCCCCCCATGGGAATGACAAAGCCATAGGGGAATCGTGCCATCTAGACTCTCCATGACCCTTAAAAAATGGGGTCATTGCCCAAAATACAGGGGTCATGAACTCATGACCCCTGAAACTAGGGGTCGTGGAGACTCGGTTCGCCACTTTCACCCTGCGAATCCCCGCGAAAACGTCGCTTCGGCCGGCCTCATCCAGCACCCCCTCCGTGCCGCTGATGTGCCGCGCGGCCTCCATGAAGGACATACCCTGCGGTAGGCAGGTGTGCTACTCTAAGCATTGGAAATCTGGGATCCAAACAAAGCCCAAGTGGCGGACGTACTGTTCATGGTCAAATGGTCATGGGTCAAAATCCCATACCCCCAGTATCTGGGGACCTCAAGATCCTACTCATCTTGGGACTTGAAGAATTGTCTGCTGAGGTCCAAACCCTGCCAATGCAGATCCAGACCCCTCCAAGAGAGTGTCCATGCATAGGCTATTGACCCGCAAATGTGTTTTTCTTCTCCAATTTTGAGACAAACTCATGAACCAAATCACGTACCCGTTTTGTGCAGCCGGCCAGCCCTTCCTTCTACGCGCTATCTCAGCTTTCCCTCTCCCCAACTAGACATGACTTTGGCAGATGTTGCACCCCAAAGTGCAAAAATCAGTAAGTGTGAACTGTTATTTTTACGTCTACGTGTTTTGATCCATACAATAGGATGTCATCCACCACGTATGTTTCAGGGTGTTCCCTAATCCTTTCCCCCTATTAATAAAGGTCTCCCTAATAATAAATATTTGTTTTGGAAGTCCCAAATCCGCGAATACTACTTTTAAAATAGCCAATACTAAACCAATTCTAAAGTAGGTATTTTCCTGCCCGTGCTCAAATCCAGCCCCATTGGGGGGACCGCGGGGGCATGTTTCCTTTACTACGGCTGTACTACAAAGTTGCGACTTTCGAGCCAGAGCTCCGGGAGCACGTGTCCTTCCGCAAAACAATCCTTCCGCGAAGCCTTCCGTATACTTCCGCGCGTGTGGCGCGGTGGACATTTTCAATCCCGCTCCCTACTAAATTAGCTTGCGGCCAAAAAAAACACCGCTCATTTGATCACACATATATGTATGGAACAACAGCATACTAACCCAGGATATTCGGCAACTGAGTATTTCAACAGGACATATTATCAATTAATCTTGATACTACTGTTGATGCACGAAATCCCGCACCACCTAACAAAACCCTGGAATGATTCGATTCCCCTGTAAATACCAACGAAAAGGGTCCATCCACAGTATCATATCGAACCTCTTGTCAATTGAAAAAAATAAAACCGTGGCACAAAACAGAGTGCCTGGAGGCTAACGTCCTGAAGCGCATCACGCCGCAGATACTCCAGGTAGTCCTATCAAGAGAAAGACTCGTGAGTCACCATGAAACCATGATTAGAGTCAGGCCCAGTTATAGAATGTATATTTCATTGCTTGCTTCACTTTGAGTCACTGGTCACCCCAGAAAACAATTTAACTGGCTGGGTTGGCTTGTTCTTTTTTTTTAATAGACAACCCCTGCTCATTTGCTCGTCCACGAAAACCAGCCCAAGAAAACAATGAGCTTCGAAAGGGGTCGATCAAAAGGGTCATCAAACCTGGCTCTTGCACTGCAGGGTTCAATGGGTTCTACACAATATAAAAGCAATGCAAACGCCTGAATACAACCGTTGCGGGTTGCTCCGAAAACCGCCACAAAGGAACCAAGCCAATTCCCTCAAGGGCAACCCAGCCTGCTGTTCCCCCAGCAGCTGAGATCCCTACCATCAGGAGGGGGGTGGAAGGAAAATGGAACAAACGGAATTCCAGGGTCATTTTCCAGAAAGTGGGGATCAGCTGAGATGAAGAGCGGTGGTCTTGTCCAGGTGCGGAGCAACCCCTAGTTCGCATTGGAACCGTGTTTGACGCTCTAGGGCTAACTTCCGCGTGCCCAAGCATCTTGACACCCAAACCCAAACAGACGTGGACCGCATTTTTCTTCTACATGCGGACCCAATCCCCCTGCTGTTTTTTTTTTAATACTTTATCGACTTCCCACGGCTAAGGGGTTACCTTCTTGCCACCCTCCAATCGGGGCTTGGAACAAAAACATGTACAGGAGCCTTCGTTCAGGTTCTATGGCAATGGGTGGTGCAAACAGGGTTTCAATCATAAGGACAAAATCCATTTTGCACCACCTAGGAAACCCTGGAAGAATGATTCCCCTGTAAATGCCAACGAACAATGGTTTCCATGGTTTCAGAGAAGTGCAGGAATTCGTCCATCCACAGTAGGTGTCCTTTTGGCAAAGTAGATGGCCCTGGTCAATGGAATGAAACCAATCTAAACCCATCTATTTCTATCTAGTCTGACGATCAAAAAACTATGTCTATCCAAACTAACCGATCAAAAGGACACCTATGAGTCCAATTTTTGAGAACCCCAAGGTAGACTCAAACGTGGCTGAGTTTCAAGCAACATCTCTGGGTTTGGGTCTACATCGCAAAATGATGTGCGAACAGGTTGACAGAAGCCAATCTCAAAGACTCCTCGGTTGCTTTCTGCTCCCCTGCCAAAAGTTTAACTTTTGCTGGTTTAATGGAAACCCATTAGTTGGCAAAAAGTTAAAGTCATAATATCCAAGCAAAATGCATCAACGATTCCTCGGGCTGGCTCTGGATTTCTGCGCGGTTTGGGATCTGGTTTGGGGTTCACGAGTGCGAAGAAGCTTGAGGATATGACGGGCTAACTTTTAAGGCCCGGTGGCTTTAAACACATGACTGTGGGTCGAAAATAGGTACCCAAAATAGAAGCCTGGCAAATGGAATTGCAAGGACTCAAATCTGCCTTCCGCTGGTAGTTTCATTTTGACCCACACCCACATGGTTTACGTTATCCACCTGCACATCCTCAAAACCGGCTTCCTAGTGTGGAAGGTGATTTCAAACCTAACCCGCTTGATTCGAAGGACCTGAAACTCAACGGTGGCTGAAAAGTGTATGCCAAGTAGGCGTTGTACCTTGGTCCAGACCGGAAGAAGCACTTGCTTTGGTAGATTGTTACAGGGACATCCCTCCGAGCCGGAACAAGAAGAGCACTGGATGTCGGGGTGCAGCTGTGGATTTGACCAGCCCAGTTGCTTCTTCTTGCTAGTTCCACAGGAAATGAGTTGGAATGACCCGAACTGAACCATCCAACTGGTGGTTTCACAAGCCTCCATTGCTTCAGTTTGCTGAAAAGGCACGTTTCCAGCAGTGATAGTTTCCCTTTCAAACCCAAGAGAGAAAATCACGACCTACTCCCAAGCAACTCGAAGCAAGGGAATCCCATGGTTCATTCCCAAAGGCCTCATTGATTCCCTAAAAGGGGCAGGGCGCTTCGTAAGTGGCTAATCAGCCCGGTCCCAACCCGCAAAAGCCCATGGTATAAGTCTCCGTTCAGTGGGGTATAACCAGGCTTAACCGCTTACTAAGTACCCCTGTAACTTGGACACAAACATTCAGGTACCTCCCCTCCCCGCATGGTACCTGACAGCGGTCCCTGACAAGGGCCTATGCCAGGGTGCATACACACTGTGGATGGACACAAAAAAAACCGGGAATTATGATTCCCCTGCAAACTATGGTTTCAACCATGATTACAAAGTGGTGCGAACGGATTTCGTCCATCCACAGTATCCCAAGCCTTTGCAGTCCTTATAGAAGTCCAGAAGGCAGCAGCAGCAGCTCTGGCGAGAAAAACGCGATGTTCGGTTGCAACCGAACGAATCTTCGGCACCAGGCTAGGGCCTAAATACTCATGGAATGGGGTTGTGGGGCATTATTTGAGGAACCTACCTGGAAGAACAAGGTGTGAAACTCGTTCAGCCCCTCGTGTTTGGTCAGGTAAGTGGGTAGCAACGCTGGTAACCCGCTGACAACCATGGCAAGGGAGTTATTGCCATGGTTACCAACCTCCTACCAAGTATCCGAAGATGCCTGACGGCCTGAATGTGACAAAGCAATCATTGACCACCCTGGGCATAGAACCAAAAGGCTTTTGAATGCAATTTCTTTAAACTCTTAGGTCATTGTGGTTGACACTCCCCCCCACCCCCCGGGAACCTGCATCTACCCGGGTTTGGAAATCTTGGCTTGCAGCGGCACGGTTTGCACCAGCACCAACTGGCGGAAGTGTGAGACACCGTGCAGCGGAGATGTGAGTGATCCTAAAGAGGTTCTAGGGAATGGGTTCTGAAAAGCACTGGGTCCTTCCGAGTGACACCGAACAAAAGATACCTCGTTTTTTTGCTGAGTTGGAATTCGTTTCAAGCTGCACCCCTAATCCCTTTGCAGGGGCTTACTGGGGTCATCCACTCCGCCTTTTCACCTCTCAGAAGCCCCCTCCCCCCGGTGGCCGTCAACAGCCGCCCTTTTTGGATATCTGCTTTCAAAGGGAATCCCCCCTCCAAAAGCAGAGTAACAACAAGATTCTCCTGGGTGTCCTTTCAACGTCGTTCACCTGGGCGCCCTTGCGAGACCACTGGGCGGTGCTTCCAGAAAGAGGTTTGGCACCGCTCAAGACGAGACAAGGAAGCAATTCCTGCCGCTGGTCGCGGGCTCGCTCCCTCCCGCTGTGTCTTTGCCTCCCTCCGGTGTATTTTACCGTTTATCAAACTCAGTCAGCGTGTATGCCTTCCCCCCCAGTGGCCATGGGGGAAACAGGGGCACTCATGCTTTTGTGGGGTAGCAATATTTAACACAAATCACTCAAAAATGACGAACAACTGAAAAAACAAATTCCGAAGTTTCTTTCTTCCTAGGTCCTCCAGACAGGTTAGAATAAGGGTACCCTTTTTTTCCCCAACAGCTCAAGGCTTTAGGGTCTCAGCCCAAATAGCCTCCGGGGTGGTCCGGGGCGGCCCTGAGGTAAGGTTCCACCAGGGTTCCACCAGGGTTGCAAAGGGTTCTGCAAGGGCTGCGGGGTGGTGCGAACACTAAAAAGAGCACCGCATGCTGTTGGGGATATCACCTGAGCTTATTGTGTCGTCTATTTTAGTAGGGGAACCCTCCCCCGAAAAAGGGTAAAAGGGCACTACTAGGGGACCTAGCTACACAAATCACTCAAAAAAGACAAACAACTGACAAAAACAAATGCCGATTATGTCTTTCATATCTTTTTATTAACCAGAATTCAAAAGCCGATGTTTTTCCTTGAGCAAATAAGCTCAGGAGATATCCCCAACAGCATGCGATGCTCTTTTTAGAGTTCGCACCACCTCGCAGCCCTCGCAGAACCTCGTGGAACCCTTGTGGAACCCTGGTGCAACCCTGGTAAAACCCTCGTGGAACCTTACCTCAGGGCCGCCCCGGACCACCCCGGAGCCTATCTGGGCTGATACCCCAATTGGGGGGGAACAAAAAAAACCACAAAGGCAACGAAACAAACACGAAACCAGGGCACCACGACAATGGAGCCTGCCCGCTTGCCCCGTCCGGGCCGTGTCGCCTGGATGAGGAAGCCGATGGGCCCCACGAAGCCCGCGTCATTCAGCCGGCCCAGCACCATGTGCAGTGGGCCCAAGAACAGCTGCAGCAGACCTGCGGGGAGGTTTTTTGCTTTTCTTTTTTTTTGCGAGAGGGGGGGGGGAGTTGTTTGTTTCTTCTTCTTTTTCCGGATCAAGGCCTGGACCTTCCAAAGCAACCTGGAAAACAAAGCACCTAGATCAGTTGCTGCATTTTTGTTCAGTCGTATGTCGCTGGTTGTTGGGCTAAAGTGCATGGGAAAAAAACTGCAACTGGCGATCCAGGCATGCCCCAAACTCGTTGGGTCATTTACCCGCCAACAAAGAAAACACACACTGTGGAAGTTCCTCAACGCGGTGTGTCCTCGTGCATAACCTGCAGAGGGTAACCCTGGACATTCCAAAGCTCGCAAGAAAAAAAGCACACTGTCATGGTTGCGAAATCCATTTCGCACCACTTTGAAACCATGGAAAACCATGGTTTCTTGGTATTTACAGGGGGATCATCCGTTTTCAGCGGAATCGTCATACACGGGTTTCTGAGGTGGCGCGAAATCGATTTGGGCGTTTCCCACGGGGAGGCTGCGACCCCACGAATCAAAGGGCAGAATGGGGGGGGGGGTCGGGGCGGCGGGTATGCTTTTGAGGGGCTGTTCAAAGAGAAGCCAATTGGGGAAGGTAAGTACTCTTTTGATTTTCCTTTTCATGGCGTGATAGGGGGGAACCAAGTGGAAAAGCAGTCACTGGTTTTTGCGTTTGCTAGGTCCCTGATTTAAAGACAAATCTCACAATATCACATCGTGGTGTAAATATGCTGTACCCAAAGCTCTGCAAATAATACGGAGGGCGGATATCCTCGGCTTGATTTAAGGCTGGAATTGCTCCCAACCTTCACTTAGGTAGTTACCCGCTCAGTGGTGATTGTGGCATGAAGTCAAGACATGGGGATTTTTCTTTCTAAAAACTCTCCAAATTGGTGTTTTTTTCCTGTTGGTTTCCCTTTAAACCATCCCCAAAACGGGCATCCGCAAAAAATGGCTGCCCATTTTTTGCACTCATCCCAGAACCTGAAATAAGACTTGGATCTCAAGCGAAGGACCTTCATCGTGACCTCGTTTTGTACGTACCCCTCGGATCTTTGCGATGGAATCGCTCGTTTTAGCCAGGGGCCTGTGTCAATTTTTGAGGAAACCTCTTTGGGAAGCCAAAGGGAAGCCAAAAGGAAAGGGACTGTTGGGGCCAAAAGGAACTGCCACTGTTGGGGAAGCCAAAAGGCACTGTTGACCCCCTGATATGCCTTTCCAGTCCCCTCCCCCGCTCGGGAGGGAAGGAACATTGAGGACTGAGTCCCAGACCGCAATGGCTTGCCCTAAGAGGATGGAGCGTAAGGGAAAAGCCAACTGGCGAACCTTGACCTCATACTGTGGATGGACGAAATCCTCTTAGGCACCACTTGGAAACCATGGTTGAAACCATTGTTTTCATGGGTATTTACAGGGCAACTGGGGTTTCTTGGGTGGTGCAGGATTTCGTCCATCCACAGTATTAATACACCCCAGTGGTCTGAATAGGGAGGTGTCAACCTGGGTGTCGTGAAAACTCATCACTTCTGGAGGGGACCCCCCCTATTGACAGGCTGGGGTTAATTGATATGGGGTCAAGATTAGATCATTTGGCTCTAGCCGTACTTAGGCTCAAGATCTCCAAAGGGCGGCAACCAAAAGCATGTTGCACCTTCGCACTTGGGCTTGTGTTTTTTGAGGGTACCCCTTCAGGGGTTGGCAAAAAGCGCATCCAAAGGGAAATCACCGATTTTGGGGCGTCACCGTATTTGGACACACAGGGGTTGCGGAAACTGTCAGAACCTCCGACTTCTTGAGTGGTTTGGCCCAGAGTCTGAACTGTTTGGCCACGAACATGATCTTCCCGAAAAGCATAACATCCATGAACAAGGCCAGGTGCTAAATGGGGGGTGCGGGATCCCTAACACCCCCAGCCCCCCAAGTGGCAATGGCAGACAAGAGTTGGCGCTTATGATGTTTGGGTAGTTGAGTTCAACGGGGCCCTCAAAAAAGCGCACCACTGGAGGTCTGCGGTGGAAACCAACTCTCATGCCCTCCCTTCACAGCCGAGCCTTCCTGTGTGGTATGGTTGCAGCCGCCCTCGCTGGGGGGTGGATAGTGAGTTTAGACAAAGCGTTGCGGGGGTAGCTTTGGCCAATGCTTTGTGGGAATCCACATGCACATTTCTTGGAGAGGGGGCCGAGCTAACCTCCGAATGCACCAGTGTTTGTTTGATACGCAAGACACATTTCTTGGCAAAGAAGTCGTTGTTTGAAAGGTCAAGAGATAGTTTTAGGCAAAGTATCCTCTAATCTTCAAGGGAAAATGCACACCACCTCTTCCTTCGAGCACGCTTACTCTCTGCCTACGTTGCGATGAGCTGGGTCCAGTTCAACTGACCGCTCATGTCCGTGGACGGGTCAAGAAACCAAAACTTTTTGCCGCTCGAGTGGTTTTCTCAGGCTTAAGGTTCAGGAGCCCAGTAAGTCAAAAGGCGACCAAAGTTACACCGCTGTGCGCAATGGAACATCAATGTTTGGGTTGGTTCCGGCTAGCCACAAAAAGAATCAACCAGCCAAAGATCCGAACATGTAATTAACAACACAACAAATAAGTTCAAACAGCTTATGTTGTGAACCTCCCGGACATGATCTCCTTGGAATCAGTTGAATTCATTCGCCTCGCGTCATGCGCCCCCGCCTGCAAGTATGACGGTGCCCATGTGATAACCTTGGCTGAGAGGGACCAGCATAAACAACTTGTCAGCGAAATACCCTCAGGGCACAGACTCAAGGATCTTCGCCCTGGCATATAAACGAACATGCAACCCCAAAGGGAAAAAAAGGGGAAACCCCTCTTTGACCAGGAGACGCTCTTAAAGATTGATGTGTGCGTGCGTGTTTCCTCCTTCTTCTTTTTTTGGGGGGGAATGGTATCATAGCATCATAATAACCAGCACAGCAAAAGGGTTTCCAAAGGTGGTTTCAACCGCCGTATCTTAAAGGTTCATCAAGCGAGAACAATTTGTGAGAGGGAATTGCTCCAAGTTGCAGGAACCTTTTCCAGTGGCGACACCCTGAAATCCGTTCTGAAATCCATCCAACCCAAAGGTCATTCCAAGTGAAACATTCTGACATACCCACCCAACAGGGCCATTGTGACCGACAAAGCTGCGACGTTGGGAACATCACGACAAAAGCAGGTCATGCTGAGTAAATATCTGCTACCCGACTCCCCTTCCCTCCTGTGAAATCCCACCTCGCAAAAAGTCAAAGTGACGATGATACTAGTGGTGAAATTCTGAAATCCCCTCCAGAACAACTCTTGACTCATACATCATTTCTTCACTTGTGACATGCTGAAATTATGCGCTCCATTTTGAGACAAGACCACACTTTCTTTCCGGTGGCAACATTCGGAAATCCAAAATCCCGCCGAAATAGGTCATCTGGAGTCAAAATCACACTTTCTACTAGTGACATTCTGCACTCTGCTCTGAGAACGTCATTTTGAGTCAAACAACAACACGTGGCCAAGTGTTAAGCATTGTTGGTCCCGCAACAGGGAAAGAGCAAGCGAAAACGCCAGCCACCCGAATTCTTGCGGGGCTGCCCTATTAGCATGTCCTTTTTCGGGATTGGGGGATTCCCTATTCGTCTTTGTTGATCCTGTTTTTTGGAAAGGGGGTGGGCTCCCTCACTTCCCTCGTTGTGTTTTAGGCAAGGTTCCTTGCGCTGCTGTTGTCTAACCTTTGGTAGAATTCGTTCAAAAGCCATGTGTTTTCAAACGGTCTAAGGGGGTAGCACTGCACCAAAGACCAGCCATTTCGCACCACCTAAGAAACCCAGGCTTTTCAAACAAACGTTATGGCTTCGACCAGGGATTCGCAACCATCCACAGTAATGTTGGACCCTCTTTTCACGGTCCCCCCCCCCCCTGAACAGTGGACCCTCGGGGTCTAACATTGGTTGACGTTGGAAGGGGAGCAAACATTTAAGTTCTAGCAGTTAAGTGGTTGGATTTCAAGCACTAAACCACAATAAGCAAAGATGTAACATGCTTCCCAGCAACAGCCATGTTGTGGGTCAAACTTAAACCACTTCTAACTTATAAAGCATGGGCTTAGAGCTATCAAAACATGGAGCTGGACCCTTTTTCGGGAAAATCCTGGGGACCCGTCTGAAAGTTGGGGGCTCGGTATGCCTGGCTCCGCCTTTCTGCGCACCACGCGGCGGAGGATGATGCAGTAGCCCCGCACCACGCGGCAGAGGATCCGGCCCTTGTGGCTCGGCAAATTCAGCTGGTAGATCTGTCGAAGCTTTTGCTCGGCTCTCGGCTCAGGGGGTCAAAGCTTTGGTCCTTTGTGGTCAAAGCAACCGTTTCCGTCGAAGTAGTGGTTTGGATTCTCGGTGGCGAGATCTGCTGCCCTTCGAAAAGTGACTAGCTTTCAGTGGTTTAATACGGAAAACCCAGTAGTTGGCAAAAAGCTAAAGTCCTACCATCCAAGCAAAATGCACCAAAGGATAGGTGGTTTGGATTAGTGTTTTGGTGGCTAGTGGTGGTTCCCAGTTACCCTCTACAAGAGTCAGGGGTTCCAATCCCCAAACTACCAATCCAAACCACCAATTCAGGGACACCTGTCTTCAGCCAAAGCATAGTATTTTCAGACCCCCCATCAAAAAAACACCCTTTGGCGGTTGTTGGCTGTGACCCTGGTACGAAAAGGGAACCCTTTTGGGTTGGCAATTTCTAGTGGAGAAGCCATCAAGCAAAAACGGTTCTCTGTTTGTGGGGACCCTCCGGTGGATTCGATAGGAAAAACAGTTTGCTTGCTTTTTTGGTTATTATTTTGAAGGTGCCTATCTCCAAATTAGACTAACTTGCTGGTTGAGCCCAAAAAACTGCTTCGGCGAAAGCAAAGCCGTCCCAACTTAGGGGAGGCCAAATGTAGGACTGCCGAAGTTGTGGGATTAACGGGTTTATCCAACCACTTCTGTGCTACTTTTGGGAATCTCCCCCTTTTTTCGGGGTTCTTCGTCTTTGGGGTTCGGCCCTTTTTGTTGTACCACAGCACTTCTGCGGATTCCATGTCAACCACAGCCCTGTGGACGGACATGGGACAACTCCACCGGTCAGCACACCACGCCCCCGGAGGCCACCCGGAACATGTTTCTGTGATGCGACTTTTTTCCAGCCCCAAAAACACCCGTGCTTTGGCAGTGTGTACGCATTTTGCTGAAGGTGTCCCTTTGTCCAGAAAACGCGTGGGTGAACAAGGTGTCGAGTTGCTTGTTTTGATGCTTGGTGTGTCTCCCAGCCGGATGGCCACGGACATATTCGAAGTGAAGCAATGGCAAGCAGGGTTTCCTCGGATCTGGTTAGAAACGGTCTGGGCTAAAAGCCCTGATGCCAGAAGATCCACTATACAAACGGAGGTTCCACCAACAAGTGGAGAGCCAAAGAACTCGAAGAGACCGTCTCTACCGCCTGACCGGTGAAGAACATCACGAAGCAGGCGGCCGCCGTCATGGTTTCGTTGAACCACAGGAGGCTGATGGCAAGCAACAAGACTTGCGCCTCGAAAGCGCCCGGCGTGATCGGATCATTTCGAGTGGCTTCTTGGCTTCTCGTGTCAAAAGATATGCAGTGTATATACTGTGATATGTTCATGGGTGTCGGTCTCCTTTGTCAGTCACTCAAACGCTGTCAACCAAAACGCGCCCTTTGCCATTGACACCCCAAGAGGCCTTCAGCTGGTCACTGGATTTCCCCTTCAAAGATTCATCAACTTACTGGTAGTTTGCACGGAAACAATCGCCACTTGTGGAGGTTCCAAAAAAAGAAATGGAGGCTTGGGTCCTGAACCATGCTTCTTGCCAAAATCTGTCGGAATCCTAGGGATTCCTAGGGGTGGTACAGCTCTAAAACGATGAACTTTCCAATTGAGCGCAGGGAGCCGATACTCAATAAGACTTGAACAAGTGAGAGCAGGAGCTTCCCTGGCAAAGTCCGGGGGTTGCCCACGTGGGCAAACCACATGCCCCTGAACAGGTACCCCTGGCATCCCACCGGAAAAGATGGCTATATACCACGTATGTACCCATAGTGTATTTAAGCTTCTGTGGTATTTTGATGTATTTTGCAGGGGCACCTACCCAGGGGTACATAGTTGGGACCTTGGACAAAGGATTCCAAATACTAAACCAATAGTAAACGAGTGCTAAGCCAGTGCTAAGACCCCAGGGCAGCACCGAGCAATACAAAACAAATACTAGTCAAAGTGGACCGACTAAGGACCACAGAAGGCAAACGAAAGAGGCCCGAAGAGACCGAAGACCGAAGAGGACCCATACTAAACTAGCGTCGAACCGAGCCTTGGGACTGAACCAAAGGATATCCGAGGCTGTTTTGCTAGCCCATGCCTCTTGAACAGGAAGAAAGGGCGAAGCCGAATGACCACTCCTGAAGACCTTCGCGGATTGGCCAAACAAGTACCCGCCCGTCCATGTTTGCCACGGAACCCACCAGAGAACTGGCCCCTTTTAAAGGGGCACATGGTCTTCCGGGACCCCAAAACATCGGGTCCGCCAAGTTTCATGTTGGTGGATGGGAGGGTAACCCAACTGTTGAAGTGAAAGTCAGTGTTCGAAACCCGAAGCGGAGGCTGACGAGTGCAGAAGTCTGGCACTCGGGAGTTGGCTGATTGGCTTCCCCGGGTGACCGCACCTTCTGACTGTTACCCAGGTTTTGCTTGTGGCTCATGTCGCCCATCCATGGAATTCGGAAACAAGTCCCGCGGAACGAGGTTTGGCAGTTGGTTGCTACCGGCCTTGTTCGTGGTGGGAAACATTTCTACGTACTCCCACTCCTTGTCAGATCCGTACCTGGGCCACGGTCAAACATGTCGACTTTTGGTCGATTGAGAAGTGGCCTAGGCCTACAACTCCAAAGCCTATCTGGGCAAAGACTAACAACTGAAAATCAGCTTGATTCCCCCTTCTTGGTGTGGTTTGGTGGTCCTTCCCATTTGGCTTCAAGAGCACATCCCCAAAATCCAAACCGGCCAACCAAGGGTTTCCAAAGGCCACCCTACCTCCAGCTCCGTGGGGAATAGTGGCACCCGTTGGGGCCAATGCTTTGCAAACCTTGGGCCGTGGCAGCAACACCCCGTGCTTTTTGCAGACTACAATGAACAGAACCAACAGAACCAACAAAACAGGTAAAGGGAATGACAAGGAAAAAAACAACAACAAACCAAAACAAGCATAAAGGGAATGAGGTCCCTCTTTGCGCCTTTGGGTCGCCTTTACGGATCCGCGGGGCCTGGGTCGCCAGTCACTGTCTCACTCGGAGCCGGAAAAAGGTGCTGCGGCCATGTCCAGACATGGTCTCCAAAACGGGAAACGACATGGTCAAAAGGTCCGTTCGCTTTGGACATTGAGTAGGTAAGTCTAGCACGCTGGCCCAACTTCCCCACCCTTGGTAGCGATGTGTTTTGCGGCCTCAACATGAGCAGCATTCAAACGACCAACACTTGACCACATAACAAAGATGCGAGCTACGGTCAAAATCTAGGTCCTCCAGTAGAGAGGTTAGAATAAGGGTACCCTTTTTTCTGTAGTCTAGTTTAGTAGGGGAGCCCTCCCCCAAAAAAGAAACGAGTGAGAAAGGGCACGATCCTGGGGGACCTAGAAATGTGTGGTCACTGCAATGGGCGTGGGACATCTTAAAGAGTCCCCAGTGGGAAATGGAATCCACTACGATACAAAAAGGGTCTCCCACAGACTAGCCCCGTCCGTTCTAGGGAATTCCAACTTGTATCACAGAAGTGGTTGGATAAACACCTTGGATCCCACAACCCCACAACCCTCCCTGGAGTTTGTACGAACACAGGGAGTCCCTTCAGAACATCCATCCCTTCCACATGCATGACCTATCTAATGGCCGGACTAATGTTGTGGGCAACCTGGGTTGTTCCAACATGCCCTCCCAAAACAGCAATCTTGCCAGTGACTCAGTATATAATTTGAGCCACAAACAATATTCATTGTGTCCTCAACTGTCCTCAACTGACATGGGAAGCCCCATTTTCATATTGGTGATTTAGTGGGCCGTCCCATGTTCCTACTGCTAATATTGACCGTTGCTCATGTGCCAGGATCGGTGAAGGTAGCAGGATGGGCCAGCCCGTGTAAACGTGTTTAACCAACTGTTCCTTCAGGTTTCCTGTTTCCCTGAGGCGACGAGGGTTTCAACAATGTTTGCAACCATGGACGGTAAGTTCCCTCTGCGCATACACGCGCTCTCAAAGTCCTATTGGCCGTGGAAAACAAGTGTTTCAGGCGAAGGCAGCGGATGACGTACCCTGGCTCACATTCCAAGGTCTCTTCTTCTTCCAGTCACTTTAGAAAGACAGCAAATGAGAGTTCAGAAGCTTAAAAGCTGATGTCGGGAAAATCACTGGCACCCTTGTGTCGGGTAGTTGATTTGGGGAACCCCTCCCCAAGAAAATAACAACACTGAAACACGGACATGCACCCACCCACAAGAGATTCTGGCGTCTTTGCTTTCCAGGCTGCACCATCTCCTGGGCCCTGCTCATGCCATCATCCATCTCCGTAGTCAAGAAATTCCTGACGACGCGACGGCGACAGGCCCGCGCCGAAGCCCAAGCGGCGCCGGAGCAAAATTGGATGGGACCCCTCGGGCTCAGTGCATTGGGCAAGGGCCCGGGAAGCCGCCGAACAAAGAGGCAAAGTGCGTCGTAGTCAAAACCCGGCATTAAAATGGTGAGCCCAGAACCGTGCCTTAAGAATTAAGAAGGCGGATATCTGCGGCTATGTATGGCTTTCATCCACCCGAATTGGTTTTGAGCACGTGGCTCAAGTGACGGGGAAAACTGGGTGGGGAAAGGGATTCTGGGAAGATGTCAGGGCGAATTGAGGACGCGCAAGCCTTTGAACAACAAGTCAGGCCCAAACCAGTGCAACTTCATGGGAAAAAAACGGCGCTCGTTCTTTGAGTAGTTGGTTTGAAGGGAACCCCCTCCAAAAGCCGGGAGGGTAGCGGGGAGAGAGCCCTAGGAACACACCATGATGCGAATAATACACCTTTCTGTGATAGCCAAGTGGTATTCCCATCCCCACGGCTACAAGGCACGCCCCCAAATCAAACTCAGGGAGGGGGTGTTGCTTCATCCGGCCTCGGACATTTTCAACAAAGGGCAGCAGCGGCCCCTTTTCAGGTCCGGTGTTCGCTGGAAGAGGCAATTTCAACCCTGAGCTTTGAGCTCATGCGGGCCTAGGTGATGGCTGAAGTGGAGTGCAACCCATCTAAACCAGTGGCTTGCCCATCAACTACGGTATGGGGTACGGGGCGGTTAAAATCCCCCCAGGTACCACCGGTACTGCTCACGCCTTTTTCGTGGAGACCACAACAAGTCCGGCGAACCAAAGCTGAAAGGACACCGATGGTGTGGGTGTTTCCTCATGGATCCAACTCTGAACCCCACGAACCCCGCGGCCCGCAGCCCGACACCCCGCCCGAAGGCGAAGAGGAACCACATCAGCAGCACCATCCGCTGCACTGCGAGAATCATGGGCCTGGCGATGTTTTTTTTGTTCGGCTCGGGTGAGTAGGGAGGAAACCAAGGGCGCAACAGGGCGCAAAAAATATAACATGTTCAGCTCAATGACATACGTCATACAATTCATCAAATTTCATCTGACAATCTGCCAATTGTACGATCCTGCAAGCCTCAAATGCGGGATCCCCCTTCTAGGACCGACATCATAGTGAGCTCGCTCTCCCCATGAATTCTGACTTGGGGTACCCACTCTCCATTAGGGAGGGACACGGGCGACCTCACTCAAATTCCGCAAGCCACGTCTTCGGGGGACCGCGACACTTTGATCGTGGCTCAAATGTCCATTGAGTGTCCGGAGGCGTGCGGGAGTGGAAGCGAAGGAACACATTTGAAGGGTGCGGGAGAAATGTCCACCACTAGGTCTTCCAGTAGAGAGGTTAGAATAAGGGTACCCTTTTTGCTGTAGTTTATTTTAGTAGGGGAACCCTCCCCCAAAAAAGAGTGAAAGGGGACTACTGGAAAACCTAGACCAGGTTGACAACTGTCGGGTGATGATGATTCCACCTTGGGAAGAACCCCTTTTGCGTCACGCACCAAAAACAAGATCCGCTTTTGAGATCTTTTGAGCCCAACGGAACGTGAAGCTACTCCGCTCCATTTCGTTTCTCTCCTTCGGACATACCTGGAATTGTTTGAAATGGTTGGATGCAGAATCAAGGTTGGATTCGGAGTAACTGACTTCCTGAGTAGACCAAACAAGCTCTGAACTGTTTGCTTGCCACTCAAAAGATCTTCGCAAAAATAAAGTCCAGGAACTCAAGGAGTGAGGCAAATGCTTCAGGCTTGGTTCTGATTCGAGGGACATTTGGTCAAACCTTGCGTCTAAGAGGGACGAAATCCTCTGGGTTGCCAAAGGATCAAAGGAGCGAAGGTTCACAGAATCCTCCAAGACATCTGTTGGGTATACCCCACCCCGCCCTTAATGATGGTAGACAAAAACACACACATTCATACCCGTAGACTCGATCCAATTTCCGGAACCGATAGGGGACTCCCAAAATCGAGGCCCACCAACCTGCAACACTACCGGGCCATGGCCCATCCAAAATCGATCTCTTGGTAATGTTCGTTGCACGCATGAGAGTCTGTCAAAATGGTGACACCCTTTTGGTTGGCATTCAGAAACACAAAAGGACACCGGCATTTCGGCGGATCCCAATGTTTTTTTTGCACCCCCCCCCCAAACCCCCTCCACGGTATGCCAAATGTTTCATCCTCTGCGCACAATGGCCCTTCTTTGGAGCGCTGAGCTCCCCACATGAGAGTCAAGCTTGGGGTGCTCACAATGCACCTGGCGCGGCCAACAAGTTTTCAGACGCGAGGCATGGTTGAGCTTCTTTTAGCAACAGGCGGCTGTGGTGGTCACACATAGGCTAGCTGCCCAAAATGGGTTAACCCCGGGGTTTATGGGACCAAGGCCTAAAACCTGCGGTCATTTGGTTTACTTTTGACCCATACCCGGGTGAGCTGGTGAGAAATTGGCCCAGAGTTGGCTTGCCCCATGTGAGCTGTAACCCGATCGGTGGAGCTCGCCTTTGTTGTGCCAATCCAATTGTCCATCATCCCTTTCGAAGAGGACCCCTAAAGGAAACCAGAAGGAAACCGAACGGGAAATCAAAGGACACGCAAAGAATCACGTTAGCATTCGAACGTGTACTGCGAAAAGCTGGATCTGTATTCTCGCGGTTGAGCCCCGAGTCTTCAACTATCACCCGTCGCGCTGTTGACCAAAATTGGGAAGGGGGAAGTGCGGTTCTAGCTGTTGTGTCCTCACCCGAGCCACAATCAAAGCATGGTTCTACTGTACCCGAAAAAGAAAAACAAAAACTGGCTGAGACACGAGGAGCTAAGTGCCCCCCCCCCCCGTGCATCTTTTGTTTGTTTGTGTGTGTGTGTGTTTTCGTTTCTGTTTGCAGGTACCTTTTTCATCTTGGTTTAGGGGCCAAGCGCTTGTACTTGAAGGGAAAAGAATGTAAAGGGCATGAAGCCCAACGCAATGGGAAAGGAAGACTCCTAACTGCGGCTATCTTGAAACCTGATTCTCCCAAGCACGCGAGGAGGTCGGAGCGAAGGCGTAAGAGTCTTGCCACAGGAGTGGCACCAATTCCTTCCATCCATGGCAGTGGCCGGATCCAAAAAGGTTGGAATTTGACCAAGCGGCCTTTTCCGCGTAGAGATCCTCGCCTCCAAATCTTCGGATCCCTGAGATCCCCCCCCAAACGACCACACGTGCCCCTGAAAGCACGGGGGTCCGAAGAGACCCGGGTGCCGCACAGGTCTGCAGTGATCGTATAGAGCTGCAGATTCGCTTCGGCTCCCGAACTCCAAGCTCTAAACTGACAGGAGATGAGCCAAAGGCCAATCTCCAGATGGCGACCAAGTGAAGCATGAGATCCAAAAGGCCATGGCTTTTCTAATGCAGGATCTGGTATCTGCACTGCGCGGGCCCAGGGAGCGTCTGAAAAGGCAAGCTGAAAGAAGGCAGGCATCTACAATGGGAAAGCTCCCACTGTCCAGGCCGAGGATTCCATGGTGAAAGAGGGGGTGGTCATGCACATGTTGGCTGCAGGTGGCGTTGCCACGCACATGCCAAAACGCTGGTTGGAAACGGGGAAACGAGGGGACTCATGGGAAAGGTTATATAGCTAAGTGTGGCAACGTTTGCAATGCAAAGGCCTAAATCAGACTCGCAGGGGGTTGGAGGGTACTTTAAAGCCATGTTTGGTCGTGGTTGGAGGAGCAATCCAAACAGGAAGTGAGATATGTTTTTTTTGTTTTCAGGTTCCACCCCTGTTGGGGGCTGGGTTAAAGGGAAACCACGGGAAACCAAGGCCATTTTGGGGGGGCTGCCCCAAAAAAGATACGCCTGTATATTTTCTTGGTTGGTGTCAAACATAGTCTTGGCCCCAAAAAGATAAAAGTTCGGTATCTTCCTTTCCTTCGCCCGATTATTCGCCCGGAAAAATCCATCCGCCTGCAGGCCATCTCGAGCACCCGCCCAGCTACGTCGAGCTTCTGGCCCAAAGTCCCTGGGAGCGATGCCAAATTGACTAGAATAAGTTGGTACCTAGACTCGCATGACCCTTAAAAAATGGGGCCATTGCCCAAAATGAAGGGGTCATGACCCCTTTTTCTAGGGGTCATGGAGACTCTAGGTACCCTTTTTCTGTTGTTTATTTTAGTAGGGAACCCTCCCAACCAAAAAAGGGGTGAGAAAGGGCACTACTGGGGGACCCAAACTCAAGGATGGGACCCAGACCCAGATGCCTGGATTTCCATGGGGAAACAAGGGGGTTGAGTTTACAGGGGAACCCTTACCCCTAAAACAAGTTGAAACAAGTTGGCACCACTGGGCGGCAAAGCAGAAATCAAAGGTGATCACCGTTTGGGGCCATGCCCAAAAATGGACCAAAAAGAGAGAACTAAGAGGTCAAAGGTCAGGCTTCACCAAGTGAGCAAAACCACCCGGAGGCTGAGTTGAACAACGGCCCCTTCTTTTAGCGCTTTTAGGGTGGCAGTGGGTCCAAACAATGTTTCACCTCTCTTTTGAGTGGCAGTGGATCCAAACAAAAAGTGACATCTCTTCTGAGTGGCTGTGGGTCCAGCAAAAAAAACAACAACAAAACAATCTCTTTTGAGTGAGGTCCCAAAAAGGTACCAGCAAAAAACAAATCGGTAAGTGGAAACAAGGACCAAGACCTGCGGTCCATCTCCTGGTTCGATTTTGACCCACCTCTAGGCCGGGATCATGTCCACTTTCGCGGTTCCAGGTTGAAGTGGTGATCCCCTAAGATCAGGGTGGGATTACTCGGGGTTTCTCCAACCACTGTGATACTTTCTGGAATCTCCCCAGCTCCTGATACCTCTGAGAAACACACAACTGAAACTGAAACCCAGTCCCCCAGTGCATTTCCATGGAAATAATGGCACTCCTTGTTTTGGTAGTTGATTTATAAGGGCCTTCTCCCTCCAACATTCAGGAGAAACGGGCTCGCAATCCACTGCAGGGAAACAACTTTGAAGCAAAGGGACGTGCTTGAAAACTCCCCTCAGATAGGTTCATCAGTTTCTTGGGAAACACGCGGTTTTGGTGCTTGACTTGGCTTCATCCCCCTCCGACCAAAAAACGTCCAAAACCCCCGGGGGGGCCGCCGTGCTGGCCGTCGGCTTCTTCCGAGGCGCGCAGCTGGCACAGAGACACCAGGGCCACCGTGGCAAAGCCCACCTGAGCCGGAGCGATCGATCCGAGGCGAAGAAACATGGGTGGGTCAAAATTCAGCGTCTAGGTCCTTGTGGGTCAAACAATTCACCAGTTATAGACCATGGCTAGGTCCTCCAGTAGAGAGCTTCGACTAAGGGTGCCAACTTTTTTATGTAGTCTATTTTAGTAGGGAAACCCTCCCCCCCCAAAAAAAAAAGGGGTGAGAAAGGGCACTACTGGGGACCTAGACTTATAAACCATGGGTTTAGAGCTATCAAAACATGGGTGCATGAGGCTGTGGGTTAAACATGGGTCAAATTTAAACTTATAAACTGGGCTGCCCTGAGATCCCCTGCTAAAAGTGACCCCAAAATTCAACCCAGAAGGTATGGTATATGGGAACAAACTGGGTATGGGAGGGAGCCCCTGGGTATGGGTAGAAACCATGGGTTTAGGGTTGTCAAAACATGGGCAGAAACCTGGGTATAGGATTCAACATGGGTAAGGGATTGGTTTAACCACAGGGAAAGCTCCCTCAAGGGCAACCCAAAGCTAATGACCCAAAGCTTTGAGCTGGGGCATTGGACAACACGCCCTGGGTTTTTGTCCGGACCAGATCCTAGTGGATTTCCGAGGGAAAACAATTAGCACTCTTTCCTTCGGATGCCAAGGGGAAACCCCTTCAAACGCGAAAAGAGGCACAGTTGGGCTTAGGGTGTCAACTCACTTGAGTGGATTGACCCCCAAAAATGTACCAACTCACTTCCTGAGTGGAAGGGCCAAAAAAGTCGAGAACCAAAAAAGTTGAGAAAAAACAAGTCGAGAAAAAAAGTCGCGAGAAAAACAAGTCGAGAAAAAAACATATCGAGGACCAACCAAAAAAAAACCGAAGAAGAAAGAACAAACGGGTCGATGTCGATGCCCAAGAGCTGAAAGTCCAGGAACTCGGGCAAAAAAAAGCGCAAGCACCAGGACACATCGCGGAATTTTCGAGGGGGATGGCTCCGAATCCCGATTTTGAGACCCCGTTTGTTTAAAACCAACCCACTGGTCCCCAAGTCACCCCCTACATAGTAGGTCCAAGCTTGGGCCCAATATCTGGCTTTGAGAACCCCTAGAAACCGTCAAACTCATGGACCCCCCATGGTGGGACCCCCCCGCAAAATGTGTGCTTTTGCCACCCCCCCCCCAAAAAAAAAGAGGTTGGGTTTTCCTCTTGGTTTCCCAAAATGGACCTGGTGGGACCCCCCCCCAATATTGTGGGGGTTTTCCTCTTGGTTTCCCTTGAACACCCCCAAGAGGGGGGTACAGGGGACCTCGAAAAAGGGGTCCGTGGACTTCCGGGAAATTCTGGGAGCCCCGGCGGCGAAGGCCAGGTCCACCGGATCCTTGGCCCTGCGCCCTGCGGCCCGAAAAACCGACCCTCGGCTCGGCTCGGGGGCGGCTTTTCGTGGGTTTCGAGGGGGGGGGGGGGGATTAGGGTTTAGCGTTTAGTTGTTGTTGTTGTTGTTTTTTTTGGGGGGGGGGGTGCAGCTCAAAAAAAGAAGTTTTTCAGCACCTAAATGGGTTTCAAGGGGAGGGTGCAGTTCAAACAAATCCGTTTTTGCAGCACCAAAATGGTAAACCAGGAGTTCTTTTTCGGAGAGTTGAGTCAACCTGCCTTTGCTTCCATGGTTTCAAGTCGTGTGGAAAATCAACGTAGCACCAGCACCTAAATGGTAAACAACATCTAGACATCTAGACCTCAGAGGGTTGAGTCAACCTGCTTGAACGCAAGGGGTAACATGGCTTTTTCAGCACCTTCCAAGGGCGATCAAATGGTTCACACCCAGGAGACCATCTGTGGGTTGAAGCAGAAAAAGCGTCGTGGGACCCAGTGGGTTGGACACATGGCACCCTTTTTGGGAACCGAGTCATCGTGGGACCTTGGCTTTGGATCTCAGGGTGACCTCCAACCACTTACCCAAAAATGGAGAGGCCGCTGGGCATGGCTTCGGCCGTCGGGCTTCTCAGGCCGCCCATTTTTTTGGTTTGTCTTATATATTTGTCGGTTTTTCTTCTTTTTGTTTTGTGTTTTGATTCTTTTTTTTCTCGGTACAAAGGCAGGGCTCGTCCACCAATGGACATCATTTTGGAAGACCATCGGCAAGGACCACTGGATCGATATCTGTTGGACAAAGTGTCTAGAGTCTGGAGTCCCAATGTAATTCAAGGCGCAAGTATCTCTTGCACTGAACGCCGGGAATGGTAATGGAAAGTGTCTGGAAAAAAGGATGCGCCAAGTTGCCCATCTGCTTTTATTCGAAATCCCAGGCTAGACATTGGAAGGGAAAGCCGCAAGACCAGACCCGTGGACCCCTCTTGCCAATCAGTTTTCTCTTCGCATGGCTTCTCTGTGGACCATTTGCTGCCAAAAGGTGGGCATGCCAAGCTGAAAAAGAAGAACTAACTCACTACCAGTAGCATCAAACAGAAGTTTCTTGTTCGTCTTGGTTCGTTGATCCCTTTCTCAAAGTGCAATTTTTGATGGATCATGTGGGTATGGGTCAAAATCAAACCACCAGGAATTGGACCGCAGGTTTTGGTCCACGTTTCCATTTACCAGGGCAAGTTCCATTTTGGGGTTGCCCTACTTTTGACCACCACAGCCATGTCATACATCCCACTTTGGGCTGGGGGTCATGGTCCCCTCTGCAGCGGCCAAACCTGGTGTTCACCACTCAAGTGGTCCAAGCCCGAACTAGTCCCAAGGTCGGAACAAGGGAACCCTGTTTGCTTCCTTGATTCGACTTTCTGAACCAGATATGAGACGTCAACTGGAACCTAACAATCCGCAAGAAACCACCGGTTGAGTGCTTCCGCCATTCCCTGCCGATCGAACCAGCAAGTTTTGGAGTTGTTGTGTTACTTTTTAGGTCGGTACGCTTTGGGGTAATGTTTAAGGGAAACCAGCGGGAGACCGTCACCTAGGTCTCCAGTAGAGATGTTCGAATAAGTGTACCCTTTTTGCTGCATGTAGTCTATTTTAGTAGGGGAACCCTCCCAAACAAGAAAGGGGTGAGAAAGGGCATAACTGGGGGGACCTAGTCACCATTTGTTTTCGCTTCCACAACCGGAAGGAAGCCACGGATTCTCCGTCGGCACTAGCAGGAATTAGGACCCCAGCAAAAAAAGCATCGTTTTTTTGCCCAGTGAGTGGAAAACAAAGGGACCCCAAAAAAACGGGGAAAAAAAGATCAAAAAGTGCCGGCTGTTTTCCAAACCCATTCCCCAGTAGCGCCCTTTTTTCAACTTTCGTTTTTGGGAAGGGTTTCCCTGCAAACTCAAATTCTGGAGAAAAGGGAAACACCTCCGCCGTTCTCGCGGCGCGGCGCGGCGAAAACAGTGCGCCGCGCGACGTGGCGCGAGGCGCGCCTATGATGGCCTTGAGGTGCCCCGTGTCGAAGTGGTAGGCGTAGACCGCGCAGAGTAGCGCGGAGCCGATGCCGATGGCGGCGTAGGAGGACCTCGCAGGTGACCTCTTCCCCGAGGGAAAGGTGGGGGCGGGGTCAAAAAAAAGGTAACCCCAAAATGGCTTGCCCTGGTAAATGGACACGTGGACTAAACCTGCGGTTTTCTGATGGTTTAATTTTGACCCATACCCAGGTTTACTAAGAGTCTCCATGACCCCTGGACAAAGGGGTTATGACCCAATTATTGTTGGGGTCATTGACCCCGTTTTTTCAGGATCATGGAGAGTCTAGGTAGTCAAAAAGACCAGCCATGAATTGAATTTAGCTTGGGATGTTTATGTCCACCAAACGGTTTTGAGAAAATCCCCTATTGAATTTCATGACATGGCTTCCATCTGGTTAAAGGGGGGGGGACCTTCGATTTGTCAACCCGCAACCGAACGTTTCTTGGGCCCAGAAGCCAAGGATGGAAAAGCCAAGCTAAAGTCAAAAACGTCTGCTACCGTTGGACCCCACGCAAAAGAAGCCTAGCGAGCCCTCCGACAATACCCAAACCACTAGGCGCCTATTGGTTTGCTCGAAAAAAGGCGCTTCGACCCGGAGCCCGGAGCCGAGGGATTTCTAAATTGCTCAGACCCTAAGACTTCTTTGGGTATGATGCCAACCTCTGACGAAAGAGTTACCCTGAAAATCCGGGTTTTCAAAGGAGTGGGTATTTGGAGGGGGATTCATTCGCCTGTAGGTTATCAAGCGGCTTCTTACTGGGAATGAACCAACCTGAAACGAGACATGGCTTCCTGATGGCCGACATTGGTGGATTTCAAGCCACATCTCGGCTCGCGTGTTCTTTGTCTCGCGATGTTTTTTTGTATTTTTTTTCCCCGGATGCTTCCGTACCACCCAAGGGCGAAAAAGCACACCCAAACGGGTCCCCCCAAAATGGCCTCTGTTTTCATTTTGGAAGGCTCAAAGATTCCAAGGCGGCAAACACCCCTAATTCATGAACTGATCGCCGGTCCAGAGGTTCATGCTGTTTGCCCTCTTTTTTTGTTGTGTGTGTGTGTGTGTTGCTAGAGGGTATTCTTTGAACCTCGAAAGGAAACACATGGGCAACCGAAGCCATCATGTCTGACAAAAACCTAGAGGTTCACTTAGAGCATCGTACCCGTTCATGAGTTGAGACTGCGAAAAGGGCAGTCGAACCGGGTCTCGAACACTTCCTCAAAGAACTTGCCTCAAAGAAGTTGTTCTTCTTTGCCACTAAAGTGACCTTCCAACAAAAAGTGACTAAGTTAAGGATGTGGGTGCCTTTTTGAGAAAAAAGCAAAGACGGCCCTGGTAAATGAAATGAAAGCTGTGCCATTTGATTCTAATCAATCTAACCTAAACAGGCCACCCATGGTTCAGGAACTCAGGGACTCTGCCAATGTCACCTCAAAGTAGCAACATTGTTTCCCGAGAAAGTTCGGGAGCCCAAGGTCCCTTGAGGCCCCACTGAGGAAAACTGACATCGACCTATTCTGCTTCAGGCGGGAGCCCGGAGTCAGAGCAACGCCTGGTTGATTTTGGATCCCTTTGCGACTGGATCCCGATCCATTCGCTGGACTTTCTCCAAAAAACGAAAAGCTCATCGGAATACGTATCAATATATTTAGTCAACCCTAAAACATTGACAAAACAAACAAACAACAACAAATACAGAGGAGACGAGATGGTGACTACGGCCAGCAACATCCGGGCTCGACATTACTCCAAACAGCTCCGCGAACCTCACGCCTCGAGTCCGGTTTCCACGGACGTCGATCGGCACCCGTTGAATCGGATTGGCTCGTTCACCCGGGTTTTCATATCGGGTTTTAATCGTGATATCCGCCCCCTTCAGCTAAAAACAAATCCTTCTCACGCCATCTCTGCCCAAATCTCTGGTGGGGAATGCTAACGTTGCTCCCTTTACAGGAGCTCCAATTGCATAATGTTGACATCGGAATAATGACCCCCCAGACTCAGAAGAGTTTTTGGCCCCCAAAAAACACGAATTGAAATCCTAGGTTAACAGTACGCAACGCATCCTAACTCGCCCGGCAACTATACAGTAAGCCCATCCCAACTGCTGCTCCGCGGGGATTTTGCAGACCCACAGTATGGCCGTTTGGAACTCCAAAACACCAAGCTTGCCATGGAGTGATTGTTTTGAAACCTTCTTGCCAGCTTGGGATTGTTGAATCCCACAAAGAATCAGTTCAAGCACCTGAAATGGGGCCTGAAAAGGTGGGTTATGCGCCCTTAAACTAGTTGGGTACCCCAATCCCGTCCCCCTCACCGTTTTTTGAGAGAAAAACCCAACATTTTTCAGCTGAGGCGCCAAATCAGGCATCGCGCGCAGTGGGAAAGGGAAAAAATGTAGACGATGGAGAAGATGCAGGAAGTCCTGCAGGATGCCAATTAGGGATGTTCAACACTTCTTAAACCTTGGTGCAAAAAAACATGCTTGTTCAGCCCTCAACTACCAATGCAACAACCTAAAAACACGAGCACCACGCGAAACAGTCAGGGAAAAAAACGGGCGCAAACTGCATTCTATCTTCGCCGAGTGCAAATCCAACAGCAGGAATGTCTACAGGAAATTTGCCAGAGACTCATCGAAAACTCGTGATCCTTGAGCCTGGTGATGCCAAATGAGCCACGGGAACTGCTTCCGGGCATTTGGCCACCTGCAGAAAAGGAACACCTGCCTAACTGCAAAACCCAGTGCTTCCGGTTATCAAAGTAGTAGGTAACCATGGGATCCTTGCCTCTAGGTTTTACATGATTGTGTTCCCTGGTTACCAGCTATAGTGGTAACTGGAAGCACTGGAACCTGTACGCGCGCCATGATTGAACTTTATAGGGCATGGCAGGATCCTTTTGAATGGACATTTAACCGGCACTTAGGTGTTGGAAACATGTGACCTGCCAAGTATCGAGGCAAGCCGGGGTCCAAAGATCAAGTGAGCGCGTCTCCCCAAGAGAAAACAACATGCCCAAGCAACGTGGGCTGACTTGCAGCAGGCTGTCATGGTTTGGGGTCTTTAAAAAGCCTCCCAAACAACCAAGTGGCGGATACACATCGGTGGTTGGGATCATAAACCCAAACCTGGCTCCGTGAACATGTAGTTGCGCCTCCTTCTTCAGACCCTCCCCCCAATGAAGTGAGCGGAGCTCAAACTCTGTCCGAGGACTTTAAACGGAAACCCTTGCCCAAAAACGCAAATGCTCATTAGATCACAAGCTACCCCCATACTACAGCTACCGTTCTGGTATCATGTCACCCCTGACTACAAAAGGTGATACATACTGTGAACAAACAAATCCACATAATCACATGCATCCTAAGAAAGATGGAAGAACAGGGCACATCACATCTGGAGGCCTATTTTAGTCTTGCTTGAAAGGGGTGGTATGCTTGGAGGATCCCCCAACGTGGTGTGTGAAGGTTGGTACATGCGGTCGCGTTCAGTCACATCAACCCGCGTGAGGTCACATCACTGCGTGGCCACGCACAGACTGCAAAGTCACACCAGCGCGAGGGAAGTCACATCATGCATCATGATTTTCATGGCAATCACAGTAGCCACGCGCTTCCACAGTGTCCGCCGCGAAACTGGCCGCTTGAGCCCCACACCTAGGTATAAGCAGGGCTTTCAGCCAACATCCAGCGAGCAATTGATGACTTTCCATGTGCTTCCCCAGTGTGTGTAGTAGATTTCGACGGTCGCTCACGCCCTCCAGCGCATGCCAAAGGGGGGGTCGACGCCGGCAGCGGCCGCGGTGCGGCCTAGAAGGTTGAAGCGGGTGCGTGGTGACCTGACAACATGTCACGCCGCACCTTAGCGAGGAAAGCGAGGCCCTTACGGGCCTCCGAAATCGTTTGCGTATGTCCCGGCCATCCAAACCTAGCATGCAGGGCATCATAAGGTTGAATGTTTTCCCTGTGGGGGTTGGCCCCACACTCCCAAGCACAGTGATGCCAACCGGCCCCCTCCTTTGTTTTGCAATAAGGACAAAAAGCGGCCCGCCCCGGAACCCCCGGCATTTTACCGTAGGAAGCCGGCGACACTGCCGCCCCCGTCAAAACAGCAACTTCGTGCACGCTGGCTGACTTAGCCAACTCGCGCACTGACTTAGCCCGGCCAGGGTGGTAAACAATGTGCCGGAGCTCTGGCGCCTCATGGCGTTTGCTGTCGAGAAACGAAGCCCAAAGGCCTCTCCTCCAAGACTCACGCAAGTGGTGGGCCTGGCACTGCAAATCGGGCTCCCAGCCAGCCTTAGCGGGGTCAAGACAAAGCCTGCGGCCCACTGCCGGGTGTGACCAGACCCAAGGCGACACTTCCCGCCAACCAAGGCCCCCGACAAACCTGCGAAGCCTTTGGCCCACACCGCCCGGCATGTGCCAGTCCTCAAGTGCCCGTCCCCTGCCACCCACCGTCTGATGGGCCGCAGAGAAGGCTTGGCAGCCCGCAACGAAACGGATGTCCAGGCCATGGCCTAAAACAAGCTTGACAAGGGGGGGGGCCGCCATGTGTTGGCCATACCCGGCCGCCCGCAGACGGCTGTCAAGGTGCCGGGTCTCCTTGTCGGCCGGGGCCCGAGCAAGCCACCCGTACCCTGCCTTAGTGGTGACAGCCATCGTGCTGACGAAGTGCCTGCGGGCTCCCCCTACTGGGGCGCAAACCAGCTTATTGGCAGCCCTGGTGGCCTGCTCAATTCTCGCCTTTTCCTTGGGCTGGGGGCCACCTCTTCCCAAATAACTGCCGAGCACAAGCAAGTTGTCCGAGGTATACGCCCTCATGTCCCTTTGTTTGCGCAGTCTATCCCGCCCTTGGGCAGTTTTATGAGAAAACTGAGACTTGCTAACGTTGTCAACAAGGCCAAGCATGGGCGTGTGTCGTTTCCAACAGTTCCACACCGCCCGGAACTCGCGAAAGGAGAGCGCATCTCCCTGCGGTGCTGACGTACGGACGCGGACCGGGTTAGCGCTGACCGCGCCTTGCCATCCAAGAATCCGTTCCTGCCCCTGCCACAACCTAAGAACGCCCCCGGCCCAATTCGCAGGGAAACCGTGCCATGACATGGTGTCGATGGCCGTTTCCGGACGAATGTGGTCGAAAGCTTTGGCGAGGTCAAGACTAGCGACGAAAGCCTTGCCTGCAAAGGCCTCAGTGAGCGGGATCAAGGCCTTTAAGGCGTCATGCCCTTTCCTGCAGCCTGCTTGTGCGTCATCAAGCGACGTGTCTGCCCAAGCCTGCGCCTCAGGGCTAGCAAGCCTGGCGCCTACCAGGACCCGCCAGAAGACAGACAGTATGCTGATGGGGCGAAGCTTGGAGGCCGGCCCGTCGTTAGGCCTGGTGCCCCCCGTTTTGGCCTGTCTTACTTGGCTCCAGGCACTGGGGAAGCTGCCGAAGCGTTCCCAGAGGTGCAGTGCTTCGGTGAGATCCTGCCACATTTCGCGGGGCCAGGCGGTGATTTCATCGCCTGACCATCCATCACATCCTGCCGCTTTGGCGCGTTGCTTTCGAATGGATTGCCAAATGCATTCAAAGGGGACCGGGCCCCAAACTTCCGGGGATTGTCTCGGGTCAGCAAATTCTTGCAGGTACTCCTGGGCAGATCTTTCTTCAGCCTGTCTGGGCCTAGACCATATGTTGCCAATAGCTTTCCAGATTTTCCAGAGCCTCAGCCAAATCTTGACTAGCGGGCTGATCCGGACCCTCAGCATCATTAAAAATGCATCTAGTGGGGGGTTCCTGCTGGGTGCGGAGCCACCGAAAAATTTCAGTGTCAGAAGCGCGAAGTCTGCTACGCCAGTTGCGCAGCCTGAGCCGAAACTGATCGTTTTGCATTTCCGAAACTTGGGTTTTGACCTCGTCCGGTTGCATCCCCGGGCGGTATTCCGCACATCGGTGGATTTTGGCCCACAGGTTGGCCGGCACTTGCTGTCCCAGGCATTGCAGCCTTTGGACTTCCAAGAGTCTAGAAGACTCTTCCCCACAGCCTTCTCGCAGCCCTCAGACGATTGTCGGTACCTTCATCGTACGCCTGTCTGAGGATTGGGTTCGCCTGCCGTGTTTCGACCTTGGTGCCTTTAGCCCGTTTGGGTTTCCCACGGCATCTCATAGGGATGCCCGCCTGCTCAGCAGTTTCGGCGGTGTGTTGCATGAAAGCTTCGAGATGTTCGTTCAGGCGGGCCCAAACAACATCGGCCTGCGCTTCACCTGGCTCAGCGGAGTTTGCTTCAGCCTGTATGTCCGCCCACCTATTCACCCACTGAGGTCTTTGCGTCGCCCATTCTCTTTTAACGAGCTCTTTCCATTCACCCAGAAGTTCAGGGTCTTTGGGGAGGTAAACCAGGCAAGGTCGGATTTCAAACTGCGGTTGAGCTTCCCCCCTGCCCCCGTGCCACCTAGTTTCGAAACCCTTATGGTCGCTCCACTTTTCGGGCCTAAGAGACAGGGGGCCTCTGTTTTCCACGTTGGCAAAATCAATCGCCCTATTGCTATCCCATCGGCTCCCTTGGCCCTCGGGCGGCTCGGACAACCAAGCCCCAGAGGCCACCAGACCTCGGGCGAGCGCACAGGTCTGCGGAGTGTCATTCCAGTCTCCTACCAGGGTCCAGGGCAGCGTGAGTTGGGCCTGGCATCTTTCGAAAACCTCAGCTTTGAAGTCGGTTTGGGACGCATTGTGGTGGGCATACCCATTCATAAAAAGGTGGCCACCCACAACGACCCCAAGAAGTTGTCCCCCGGCATGAGGCACTTTGAAGGCCACACCGCTCTTCAGCCGTTTGCTCACAAGCGTGAAAACTCCTCCAGTTCTGGCATCCGGCTCGCCGCGCCTGATTCTGGGGGATCCTTGGACTCAGTAGGCGCACCAACCCTTACGGAAGGCAGCCGTGGCAAGAGTGCGAATGCCTTCCTCATTCATGTTAATTTCCTGCATGCAAACAATCTGCACGTCCTTCGGGCGCATGTCTTGCATGAACTGCCAAGTGTTGTTCTGCCCTCCGCAGTTCAAAGAGATCAGGGTCCCCTGTTTACAAGAACGTCGCCGGGGGCCCGGGTTGGGCTCCACGCCTTCTTGGCACAGGTCCCTGAACCACCTTTCTTTTTGCAGGGGGGGGGAGCTTTTGGGGTTTAGCCCGCGTAGCAAAAGGGCCCCTGTTTCTGTGTTCCATAGCCTTTTCGTCCATAGCCAGGACATCCTGGGCACTCCACTGCCACTGTTGGACCACAGCCTTGACAACTGCCGAGTGCTTAGTCCTGAGTTCACGCCAAGAGGTCGCTTTGGGCCTAAGTTTGGCGTTGCATTTCGTGGTGGTGAATTTGTGGCTGTCCCCGGCCAGCCATTTACATTTGTGGCACGTAAACTTGACCCAAGAACCTTCCTTCAAGAGCCCCGAATCGTTGCCGATGAAAGCCAGGGTGTGGCCCTGCTTTTCGGCCTGCTGGGTTCTAGCCTGCCTCCACTCACTATTTTGCCATCCCTGGTGGTTGCGCATGCTCATCCTGTATTCCACATGGAATGTGCCGTGCACGTGCGAAGTTGCTGCTTGTTCTCCGCAGCCGAGACCCCCGGTCTGCAGTCGCTCAGGTGCTTGTCCCTGCTTTTTTCGAGTTGGGTGGTGGGAAGCCACGGAAGGCCTTTCCCGCATTTTCCGCAGGTCCAGCTGCGGTCTTTCCACGGTATCTGAGTGGCAGGCACGGTCGTAATATGGGGTCTATGACCTTGGATCGAGCTCTTTTCATGCGTGTGAACCTTTTCAATGTGCCTGCGTCTACTGGAGTAAAGGGTGCCCCTAGACAGCGTGCGGACAGTGAAGCCGCACAGGTTGCAAGTCCATGTCCTCCGCTCCGGCAGGCCCTCTTCATTGACCTTGGTTTTACGCCTCAGTCTGAAAATGCACCGCCTAGGTTCCGTTTGGGCATCCGGGAGAGAGTCGGCAGCGCGTTTTCTCTTAAGCCCCTGATTCCCCTGTTGCTGCTGGCTCTGGGCTTCATCGATCCTATTTCCGAGGGCCCGAGACAAAGCGTCAGCGGCGAGCAGACACCTTTGCAACACCCCAAGCGCAGGGTTGGCTCCGGCCGAAACAGCAGTTCGCTTGGCCAGGTCCAGGGCCTTGGCAACTTCATTCCAAGGGTCCGAGCCCGATGCGCCTTGGAAAGGCGAGGGGGGATCGGCAACCTGGGTTCCCGAAGCATGGCCTTGTTCCAGGGGCACGGTTGGGCGGGCACCATCGGAGCCCGAAGCCCTATCGCCACTGGGGGGTTTTTCCCAACTAGTCTTTTTGGGCGAAGCCTTTGTGCGTGCCGCCCAGTTCTGCTGTGACAAAACAAGGGTGTGGGCAGATGGAGTGGCCGGCTCGGCCTCACTGCTACCCGCCTACAGCTAGGGGGCAAACTGCCCCTGGCTGAGTGTGGCGCGGCGCCCTGCAACACTTTGCGTTCTGGCACAGAAGACTCCATCAACCATCCAGCCGGTATTTTGGCCTCAGAAGATGGCCTCAGCCAGCCCTTCCAGCACCAGGACCACAGGTTTGGCCCCTTTAGCGGCCTTAGCAACCCCTTTACTAAAACCGGGCGCCAAAGTGCATCTACGCCACATGTTCTGATGTTTGTAGAAAATCACAATGGGCAGTCCCTGTTTTTCAGCCGTGGCCAAAAGTGTCACGCCGCAGATCCATGCATGTGGGTCTGCCGCTTGGTTCAGGAAGGCTTCATAGGCCTGAGCCTGCGGCGGAGTGGGTGACTCCGGGGCCGTGCCCTGATCGGGCAGGACAAATGGCGTAAACTTGTCCTGGTTCTTTCTAAGGTGAGACACGGCCTGGGTGCGAAGCAGGGCTCCTTTGCGCCGGGGGCCATCACCAGTCAAGGGCTTCCCTTGATTGTGAGCAATGGCGGCGCTAAGGCATCGGTACCCGCAATCCCCCGTACCTTGCTCATCCACCAGGCTCCAGCCCTCTTGAAGGGCTCTCTGGATGACATCCCCGTCTTCTGTGTCCTCGTGGGACGTCTCCATATCGGCCTCGGCATTGTCTTCGGGGCGGCGTTCTGACCGCTGTGGGCTTCGGCTTCTGGCCCTAGGTGTGGCCTCAACCTCGCTGTCAAGAGCCGTGGGGGGGACCTCCTTTCGGGTTTCCTTGCCCTTGCCCTCGTTCCCCTCCATGGCTTGCCCATTGGTGGAGTAGTAGGAGCGTTTGGGGGGTCGGACCCAAGTAGTCTCCTTTGGCTTTTCCGGCCTGGCGGCCTGTTGGGTTATAACAACATGCCAGTCATCATCACCTTGGTCGACGTAGGACCATGGGCCTGCAGTTTGATCCTTAGGCGGCACTGCTCGCACCACCCACTGCAGGCGTCTCTTCCCGACATATTTTCTGGTCAGTGTCTGAGGCTGTCGCCAACCTTGGTTTTCCAAGAAGGTAACGACGTTTTCTGTTTCCCACGAACCAGGGAGACCTTGCACGAGCACGACCAGGGCCCTGCTCTGGGTGGGGTCTTCCGGAAGTTCGATGACTCCAAGGTCATTGCCGCCTCCGGCTCTGAGCTTCAAGCCTTGTTGCCTCCCTTTAGCATAAACTAAGGCTCTCCTCAGGTAGTCATCAGGGTTTTCCTCACCTTCCCGGCTAATCCACCGCACTTTTTCGGTACGAGTGTTGACCTTAGTGACGGTGGCAAACAGGCCTCGGTAGCCACTTTTGGCCATCAGGGCCATGTGCTTCCCCACCAGCCACGCCAGTTTTCTGGTCATGAAGTTCCAAAGCCAGCTACGGAAGTGCAATCACATTGGCCATGCGCCTCCACAGCGTCCACACTGCTTCAGCGGGACCCCACTCCAACGCACACAATTGGTCTGGTTGCCTGCGGGGATGCTTTCCCCACTGGCCACACGAGATCGATGCGACTTTGCACCCGCCGATGCGACTTAAGTCCACCCCTTGTAACGTATTCTCATTTATTGTGTAGCGAATATGAAGGTATGCCCAGGCCCCCAGTGGCCAAAGGGAAAAAGGGCACGCATTTTTTGTTTGGTAGCTGATTTTAAAGAGAACCTGCTCCCAAACAAGTTGAAGCAAAAGGAACCACTAACGGTCTGGTTAGAGACTGCGAGCCGGCAAGCACGCGGTAAACCTCAAGATCCAGGGTAGGTTGGCTTCCCTTTGAATTTGAAGCCACAAATGGAGGGGTGCCATCAAAAAAAAGACCCGCCCCCATCTGAGTGCTGGTCTTAAGAGTCCGGAATCACAAGTAATTTTAGGCACCCCTCAAACGGCTTCCGCGCCTTGTACCAAATTCCAGCAGAACGTATTCGAGCCATTTCAACTGGCGGGTGATCGGACACCTCGTGGTTTGCTTATTTCGTTGGCCAGTGCAAATACTTGCTGGTGCGATAGGTAGGGAATGACCTTCCGGCTTTTGGGGATACACCTGCCACTTCCAGCAAAAGAAACCAAATCGGGGCCAATGTGGCCTCTCTTTTTTTTCGGGGTCATTCCAGTGAACTCGTCATCCGCCGACCACGAAAACCAGCAAGCGAGTTGGTTGGTCCCTGCCGCCAGCGCCAGAAAGTTCCAGTTCCGCAGGAAGAGCAGCACCGACAGATTCGGCGGGGCAGTCGTCACCGCCCTCGGCTCGCTCTCGGGGGCGGGGGGGGGGGGGGGGGGGATGGGCCAAAAGCCCCGGTCGCTGTTCCTTTGCCATTAAAATTCCGAAAGGGAACTCAGGGAGTGAGTTGTTGGCCAAAAGGAAACAACAACCATTTCAAGGAATCCCTACTTTGAGACACCCACTTTTTGTTGCGTTCCCGTGCCAACCTGGGGAGAACTGGCATGGAACAATGGGCGAATGGTGTGTTAACGCGATCCCGAAATATCCCAAAGCCCGCCGATGTTTTTCTTTGGTTGGTTTCTCCTTTGGTTTCCCCTCGCCCAATTTCATGAAAACACCCATGCTGAAACACACGACTGGTGGCTTCACAAAACGATAACCCACAAGCTGAAGAAACCAGTAAGCCCAGGTGGAATCGGGCGGAGCCTTGAAATCCAAAGCTTCCAGCCCAAGGTTACGCACGAAATACCCTCCAGGGCATCAGAATTTGCTCAGAGGTCCATAGGAGACGGGCAATGGTTTGCAGCTCAACTGGCTCTCGTCGAGCTTGAAATGGGAAAGCACGAACATTCTCGGCCCGGGCGCCCCATTTGTCCCTTGCTTCCCCCAGTTCCGCAGCCCATTTCTGCCGCACAGAGTCTCTTCGAACTGGTGGAACAAGCTCACCGCAAACTCCGCGTGCGGCCTGCCGTCCGACCAAAACCATGACATGTCTAGCCTGTGACAGTATTCTTGAGCACTCTGCCAATTGACATGGATTCCCCCGTCACAAACGAATGATTTTAAACAAATCGCGCAACGTGCCTTTGCGGACCCTTTTTGGAATCCATGCTAAGTCGCAGGGGAGTAAACATCCGACGAATATCTTGCATCAGGCGAACCTGCCGTGGAAGGACCAGCCAACTGCCCTGCTGGGTGCCAGGCAACTCGGGCATGGTTTCGGCGTGAACATGGCTGGATGAG